CCCTGCATCCCCGCTGTCGGCTCGGTCGCTACGCTCCCTCGCAGCACAGAAACAAAACATACAGTTTGGCACTTCAACTACAAATTATTTTTGTGTTGGCACTTCTAATAAACTAGTTGAGAAGGCCTGGGGGCGTTTCATGAAACAATTAATATTAATATCATGTTCACCGGCAATTCTTTTGTCACCGACTATTTTCCAGGCCTGTGATTGGTCAAATTTAGTCAGCACTGACTAAATTGTCGGTGAACATGATATTAGTCGGTGAAAACCACCGACTAATTGTTTCATGAAACTGATAAATAGTGAGGACATGGCGTCACAAACTGTTTTGTGATTCTCATTGTTCCATAGTTTTACATATTTTTCAAAAATTCATAACTTCCTTATTAGTTATCCGATTTTGCTCAAACTTTTTTTGATTGGTTTGTCTGATTTTTCTGCTTTTATTGAATTTATTTTTCGAGTGGACTTGTCCTTTCAGGATTACACTAAAAACGGAAGGGGCGGGGTGTTATACGTCAAATTTTTTGTAATCGCTTTTCTCTCGCAAATGCATTGACTGACTGAACCTAAATCGATGGAAAAATGATTAATTTTAACAGAAAAAGACGCACGTTGTGATGAAAAGTTAAATATTTTCATTGAAATTCATTTGTTGACATTCGTAGAATGACTATTACCTGGCAAGAATCACACCGCCCTCTTCGTATCCTACACAGATCATGTTATCAGTAAATAAGATGCCTTTCCTGCTAGGGACTGATTGCACTTTGCCCAGTCGTGGATGGGAACAACTGCCTCATATAACCTGTCAGGGTTTTCGGCCGCTATTATTGAAAGAGAAACAAATAAGAAATACGTAAGTATTTCAGATTCAGATTCAGATTCAGATTATTATATTGGTCCATTTGGAAATTTAGTTGTTAGCATTAGATAAAGCACATGAACAATATACAATAGAAAATAATATACACAAATAGATAATACACAGTAGCAAATGTACAATGACATATTCATATGGAAACACGGATATAAGTCGTTTTTACATAGTGGAATAATATAAGAAATAAGGACTCACAACACTATTGAAAATGTACAATTGCGTAGAATTCGGAAATAGCAATGTTATTACATTTTATTATTATTATTTTTATCTTTATTATTATCATCATCATCAGCAGTATTTATTATCATTATTTGTCACGGTATATCGCTGAATTCTTTCTTTTTTTTCTTCTTCATAAATTAAAGGTATTACAAAGTTTTGGTATGGGGTCATGAATTTGGTTCAAATGAACCATATTGAAGCATAGGCGATCCTACAATATTCAGTGATCGTTGTCGTGGTTGAAATCGAGTCTAAAGTGATGAAATTGTAAATAATAACTCTTTATGTTGTATAGCGCCCTCTCAATGTCAATATATTAATTTAGTTATAAAACAACGTTCTTTGAATAAAATCGACCGATTTGCTATTACCGTTTGGAATATATATATCACAACTACATATTCTGAGATTTTCATGGTCGCAGCTACCATCGTATGGTCGTAGGCGCTATTTGAAATTTCTCAAAATTTACCGGGAGCACCGGTAAATTTGTATATTCAATTTATCTCGAAAGCAGAAGTGTTTTAGGGGCTAAATTTTTAAGTGCTTATAATACATCCATAAGGGCATCCAAATATATCATAATTGTAAAGAATCACTATCCAGCCAATTTTCAAAATTTACCAAAACTTTGTAATACCTTTAAACGTTATAACATTATGATATCATAGGGTATTATTTATTTCTGTGCTTGTGATACTGGTACATTTGGTTGAAAAGGAAGGGTACAATGCAATTCATGAATAGCGAAGTGGCAAGATACAGGCCTATTAAATTTGACTGGAGTTGTTCATTGCATAAACGAACTGGGGTGGGGTAGAGGTAGCCCCTCGCCCCGAGGATTTTGACATTCGGGCAACGAAAAGACCGAATATGTAAATGTTACAGCTTATATAATGTATTTTGATCACATAAATAACGTTTAATCATTCTCGCAAAATTAAGAATCTGGAAAGTTGGTTTTCGGACATAAGATATCACCCCCCCCCCCCCCCCGCGTAAAATAAACCCCTAAGCATATAATTATTTCAGGTATCCAAAGATGAATATAATTAAGGTTATTTTCCTTATGTATCATCCTCATCTTGTCATCCTGCTACTGTTTCTTGTTTGTTTTTGTCTCGTTTTTTGTTGTTGTATGTCCTTTTTTTTTATTCCGTAACTTTTTCAAAATTTAGTTATGAGTGTATAAAGTTTGATTATTATTGTGCGAACCTACACCTTTTTTTCTTGTCACTTAATGTTCCACCATCAACCGCCACTCAAGAAACCCTACAAATCATTAATGTCGATTTTACGCCTATTATCTAAATAAAATGCAGCTGCTAATATTTCACATTATTATAATTTCTCTAAGTTAATTGTTTATACATCATTGCTTTATTGTATTCCTTTGTTAAATTTTATTCATGAGACAATAATTATGGTTAGGAATGTAGAACAAAAGATAAAGCAGACGCGGATCCAGGATTTCTAGGGGGGGGGGCCAGCTAAAAAAAAAGGGTAAAATTAACGTGTTTTTACACGTTTTTTCCCAGGGGGGGGGGCGGCCCCCCCCCCGCCCTGGATCCGCCACTGTCCACACTGATTACCACCCCTTTAAATCCTCCTTGGAAAAAAAATGCCTCGTCACTGGACATGCAATAAAAATATTATCAACAAATCAAACAATAAAACTGAAAAACCAATATTTCTCCCCCACATGACCCAAAAATCGTCCTCACCCCCGCTTTGTAGTGTTCCCCATCCAGTGACTGTTGCATTCTGCCCGACGACGAACTGGTCATCCATGTCGCCAGTAGGAAGACAAATCGTATTCACTTTGAAATCTTCGCTGAGGATAAATGGTTCTGTCATCTTAAACAAAGCGATGTCGTTATCGTTATTAAATGCATCTATAAAGTCGTAGTCGGGATGGACCAGGATTCTTGAGGCCCAACGTACTTGAATGACATCAGTGAAGTCAGATAAATTGTTTGAACCGACTTTAAAAGCGTATACTTTTGGCCTGCAGAGTAAACAAGTATCGCTTCAAAAGAAAAGAAAATAGAATGTGGCATTAAATGATATTGTTAAACCTTTGTTGAAGTGTTTTATTTAGGCATATATATGAACTGTCAAGGCTTTTATTTCAATTTGTTTCAATTATATACTATCGTTTCGGAGGATTATCCAAATTGAATTATTTGCTCATTCTAAACAGTGACAGAAAATACAATTGGATCTGTCTACTATTCGCCACTGAATACTATAAAGGGCACTGCAGACTGAAGAATGATGTGATCTCAAAGCAAAAAAACATGAAAAAAGTTAGTCATTGGTATTGATAACATTAACAGGGATTATTTCAACATCATAAAAGATATTGCTTAAACATCATACTTTGCAGTTGGGTGTGATGGTCTGAATATTCATTTGCCAGCGAGCGAAGCAAGTAAGGACAAATTGTAAGATTTGTGAGGTCGCAGTGCAAAAAATAACTTCTTATAAGAGAAGAAAAGAAATTATCAGAACATTCTCATAACGCAAGACTGAAAAGGCCTTTGATAATTTTATCATTCATATATGCAAGCGAGCTTTGGGAGAAATTGCTCTTAGTCACTTTAAATTAGTAGGTGTATGTTTAGTGATGAGAGGAAAAGGGGACACTTGTCGAAAGGGATAAGACATTTATTGGAAAATAAAAGGAGCACAAGTACAAAGGGTAATTATCAGAGATAATTAGATTACACCTAAAAAGAGGCACTCATCAGGGATGAAAAAGGGCACTTATGAGAATGGGGAAGGGGCATTTGTCGACGGAAAAGGGGAACCCATCATATTTTGATAGGGGCATTAATAAGAGGTGAAAATGGGCATTTATGAAAAGGGGATAGGTCCCATATTGGAAAGAGAAAATGGCACGCATCATTAATAACAAGGAAATTATCAGAGGTGAAAAGGGGCTCTACTCGCACCTGAAGAGGGGCACTAATAATAAAGGGAAATGTGCATTTTTTGAAGAAAAGGGGCACCGATCACATTTTAATAGGGGCATTTATCTGAGGTGAAACGGGGCTTTGAAGAAAAGGAGGAAGTGGCTCATATTAATAAGAAAAGGTGGCACATGTTAAAATAAAAAGGGTAATTATGAGAAGGGGAAGGAGCACTTTTACGAAGAAAAGGAGCATTATTAGAAAAGAAAAGAAGCACTTTAAAAAAATAAAAGGTGCAGTTATTAGAAGTTAAAAAGGGCACTCATCAGAGAGGAATAGAGCACTTATCAGGAGAGGAAGGGGCACTTGTCAAAGTAAAACGAGCATCTCTCAGAGTTGAATAGGGGCAATTATTGAAGGTGAAGGGGGCACTTAGCTGAAGTGAAGAAAAAAATAACTTCTCGTACCTGAAAAGGTTCATTTACCAGAGATGAAAAGGGGCACTTATGAGAAGCGGAAAGAGCTCTTTTTGTTTTAAATGAGACACTTATCATATAAGGAAAAGAGGCACATGTGAAATTAAAAGGTGCGCTTATCTGAGTTAAAAAGGGGTAGTTATTAAAAGGGGAAAGGGCTCCTCTTACAAAGGAAAAGGGGCAAATGTCAAAGTAAACAGGGCACCTCTCAGATTTGAATAGGGCAATTATCAGAGGTGAAGGGTGCACGAATCAAAACTGAAAAGGGGCACTTACTAGAGATTAAAAAGGGCACTTATGATAATGGAAATTGCGGGACACTTAGTACAAAGGAAAATGGGAACTTCGTTGTCGAAGGATAAGGGGCACTTGTCAGAATAAAAAGGGCACTTTTCCCGTGTAAAAAGGGGCGCTTTTGGGAGTACTTGAAAAAGGGGGCACTACGCCCCCCCCCCCAGAAGCGCTGCCTCTGCATCATCATCATCATCTTTGACTTACACGCAATGTGCAGCTGTCAGGATCCACCATGGGTCAATCAAGGAGCCTCCACAGATGAATTCCCCATCCTCGAACATAGCAACCTGCCATGGCCACGCATACTCCTTTGCTGGGTGACCGCCGACGATCATAGAGCTCATTCCTTCGTATGTTTTCCCACAATCATTAGGATTTGCTAAATATAGAAGAAAACAAGTTCAGTGGAATAATGATATGATTTAATATATGCGAAATTATGATAATATTAATGGTGATAATGATGATGATAATAATTATGATGATACTAATAATAATGGAAAACAGTTATAATAATTGATATTATAGAAAATAATAATAATAGTATTATTGTAATGTTAATAGTAATACAATGATAAAAATAAAAATAACATTGATGATGAAAATTATGATAATTATGGTGATAATATTAATAATAATAACAAATACGATCAAAATTATAATATTAACAAATAAAATGATGATAATGATATCAGTCGTAATAATCATAATTATAATAATAATAATGATCATCATCATGATGGTGGTAGTAATGATGACAATGTTGAATAATATTATTCAGTATTAATGCTGCGCTCGCTTTTGGGGCCTGACAGATTAATTTGAGGATGCAAGCTGATAACGAGAAAAGATCGATCCCTGCACCTCTCATACAAAAGTCAAGAGCCTAAACCCAGAAGCGGATCTAGAGGGGGGTTGGGGGGGTTACAACCCCCCAAAAAAAATCCGGGGACCATTTTTTAAAATCTTATCTTTTTTTTTAAACTTGTAATTTTATTTTATTCTATTTCTATGTATTTATTTCATTTATTATTATTATTATTATTATTATTATTATTATTATTATTATTATTTCTTTTTGGGGGAGGGGGGGGGGTTGGGCGAACAAATGTCACAGAGTCCCTTGCCCCCCCCCCCCATCAGCTTTTTTGAGGACACGGGCCACCGCCGAAGTGAAAAAAGAAAAAAAAGAAAAAAGAACGCACGCTGGAGAGAAACCCTTTCAAGTGCAAATATTGTGAGAAGATTTTCAACTCATCTGGTAACTTAACCAAACACATGATAACTCTGGATATAACTGTGTATTTAACTGTTACTCGATTTAAAAAGACGTTATCATGCACTGCTTTTTATGGTCTCCATTGTGTTAATAGATGCCAGGAAAACATCACTTACGGGGTTCAAATAAACACCCCAAAAAAATCGGCTCGCCGCTTCGCGGCTCGTGGACGATGCTCCGCATCGTCATTATTTTGGTCAACCCCCCCCTTAGCAAAAAGCTAGATCCGCCCCTGGGTTAAACCAATATACCAAAGTGCTCCCACTGTGGCACGATTATGGGTACTATAAAGATTACCACCCCCCCCCCCTCCCCATCCATCCGCCCTCCCCCTCTCTCTTTTTCTCTCTTTCTCTCTTTCACTCATTTCTTCGTTCTTCTTTTTCTTCTTCTTCTTCTACTACTTCTTCTTCTTCTTCTTCTTCTTCTTCTTCTTCTTCTTTTTTCTTCTTCTTCTTCTCTCTCTCTCCCTCTCTTTCACTCATTTCTTCTTTTTCTTTTTCTTTTTCTTCTTCTTCTTCTTCTTCTTCTTCTCTCTCTCTCTCTCTCTCTTTCACTCATTTCTTCTTTTTCTTTTTCTTCTTCTTTTTCTTTTTCTTTTTCTTCTCTCCTCTCTCTCTCTCTCTCTCTTTCACTCATTTCTTCTTTTTCTTTTTCTTCTTCTTTTTCTTTTTCTTCTTCTTCTCTCTCTCTCTCCCCTCTCTCTCTCTCTCTCTCTCTCCTATCTCGATCGTTTTTTTTGTTCTTTTCCACTTTTACCTCCCATCAATCTCGCTTCCATATGTTAACCTTGCTCTTGTTAGCAATCAATATGAAATTGTAGGTTCAGTCTTTCACTGAACAATGTTACTTCGGATAGATTACATATGACATATACACTCTTCTGTGAAACAGATACATTGTGATAAATCCGTTTTCAAAAATTAGTCCGCACTAGTTTGGCCAGGAGGGATTAGACCTCCCTGCATGGTCACTGACATGTGGTAATCTCATCAAATCAACTCTCAATTAACATAAGAAAAAGGGGATCATGGGGGACCAACGGGCACCGATTAGGCATTGTTTAGTATATAGAGGGCGCAAATAGATACAAGTAGTGCAGAATTTTTATTCATCACGGGCTCACCTTGCCAATCAGCTGCCATTGCTGTTACAGCAATCATCAGAACCACGAACATTGAGGAAAGTGACGCCATTGTTTCAAGTGCTCTAATGAGGAAAGGTCAAAGGTCAATTCAAACTTGACGCATCATACCTATCTATTTCCTGTGTATTATCTTCGTTTGTCTAAAGTACACTAATTATATATTTGCATAGTCTTTATCATTTATTAAGGGCTCTAAAAGCCCGCGAAATTTTACGTCCTTATCACCTTCACGATGCGTTTCCTGGCTCACTGTTTATCCATTACTAATCATGTTCAATTTCAATTTTATTCCTGTTTCTAACAAAGCATTACAAATCAATTATAATAATTTACACAAATTAAGGAATACATATTGGCAGCAACATTACAGCCTAAAAATTGCGAGCTTTTAATTAAAGAAATAACAGTGATTTTGCTTTTCCTTGTCATTTCTGAGTGTGAAAATACATTCTCCACGTGTACAGTGAGACAATCACAGAGATGTTTTGACAAAACTCATTATGAATTTGGTAAAATAAATGTGCTAATCCAAAAGGCCGGCTCCAGCATGAAGTTTGATTTTCATCCCTTGGATAATAATTATATAATCATTATCATAAATCATTGTACAGTAATAGTTAGAAATAAGACAAACTACTTACAGAGTGTTGGAAACCATCGAAGTTGTAGCCGTGCACGGTGCGAAATCAGTGCTTGATTCTGAGCACGCCGCCAGTATTTATCAGTCATATATAATTATAATATAGTTTAAAGTCTAATGTATATTTGATTGTTTTTAAGATAACAATTCGGCTTAGGGACCCTTCTGCAAGTAGGTCTGTCGTTATTTTTTAACTTGCGAAATCAATCATGATTTAATAGAAGACATGTAGCAGAAATCATCTTTCAACAATAAAAAATATCTTACGATAATGGTCAACATGACCGGAGGTACTGCCCACATACAATACTCCCCCTCCTTTTTTGAATTTATTTTTTTTCATATTTTTTCCTCCACAGGGATGTTATTGATTTTCCTTTGCAACAACTTCAAACATTAATTATATTCAAGGTAATTTGCATTTATAATATAAATAAAATTGACTACTCAAGATACAAATATTTGTTAAACTGTTGATGTAACAGAAGACAAATATAGTTTCAATAATGTATTTCTGATGTGCATGGAGAAAAAAATGGAGAATTAAAAAAAAGAAAATTGTAACTGATTGAGAGCCAGCAGTTAGTATGTGTCTATCCTTCAAAAGGGCATGTAGAACAGTATCATATTTTCAAAAATGATAATGAGAAGGATTTATAATCTTCGTAGACAGGGGTGTAATATATTTTGGCATATTCGTATACTTATGAATTAAATCGATGTTTTGTTTTCTTTCTCTACCAAATTTTCCCCTCTATTTCCCTTGGAATAATGAAGAACGGTGGCTGTTTCAGCCCACGTGGATCCTTTTGTAATACGTACAGTGTTGAATTACATACATATCCAACATAATAGTTCGGATACGCATCTGACATCCATATGACATACCTTGGATGCGGTAATGAGTCAAAACTTTTCTTTCGTTGGGGAGGGGGGGGGGGGGCAGAATAAAAAAATCATTTCAACAACATTTATAAACCATTGGTATCGAATTCGAAGGGGAAAAAAAATCCACGTTTGAATAGTCTTTTGTGAAACGTACTTCTTTTTATGTTCGTATTCAAGTATGTGCATGTGCAAGTATGTGAGCGAGTGCATGTATTTGGAGCGCTTATTATAATATATATTACTTGTATGCAGATAATAAATGACGCTGCATGGAAGCCATGAAAGAATATATCGTATAGTAGATGATTTTACAGTATAGTTAGGAAACTATTCCATGTGCCAGGGCCATGGCGTCGGATAGATTTATGAGCAATTAGCATTTGGGATGTAAATGACAATTCTGAGAGTTTCATGTCGGATAAGTATGGATTGTGTCGTTTATAACAAACAGGTTTTGGAATGCCGGAGGAAGTAGGCTATTGGAGTATCTGAACATAACGATAACAAGCTTCAAAGTATCGATATAATGTTTTCAGCTTCTGAAATAATAGAGTTAAGTGAACGTATACAAATAGTATTGCTGTGCTACATTTTGGCTATAAAAGTCATCTCAGGAAGAAGAAAAAATACAAATAATGAAATTTCGGTCTTATTAGATAAACCATCATTATTCACATTGTACATGTGATTGATTTAAACAAGTTTTCTTCTTCTCCTTCTTCCTTTTTTAAGTATACAACAAACTCAACGATTATTTAAACACGTTAAACGTGTATAAGCCACAAACTTTGTGGCTTATACACCCAGCAAATAAGATCGATTGATCGATCTGTACTGAAAAAAAAAAGCCACAAATAAACTCAACGATGTGATAAATGATTCTTATTTATATAAAGACGTAATTCAACTTCTGATTTTCCAAACAAAACGTCGGTTTCAGGAGGAGATAAAAATGATCTCTCCATCAACTTGCTTGTGAAGAATACAATCACAGATACATAAATTCTTTATTTCAAATATATGCCTATATTAGAAATCTTACATTTCTGAACGTGACGAAGGAAATAATACAGCTTTCATAAAATATGTCTTCAATACAAAATACATACAAGAATGTCTTTATTATTAGAGTAAAGATGAACAGAAGTGTTAACACTAAACATAAATTGTATACAATTTATAAGCACATTAGCACATTAGCGAGCTGATTCTGCCTATACTAGCGTGTATGTCTATGCGGCAGCAACGGACAAAAAGAGACCCCCCCCCCCCCCCACTCGGTGTTATTTAGGGTACGCGTATGCATGTTCCCTCTTTTTTTTAAAACACCCCTAAAGATATATATGTTTATATATCTATTTTTTTAATTAATTAATTTTTTTTTTAAAGAAAAAAACATGAAAAACACTGCTAAAATGGATCTTTTTCTGAATTTAATCAAATGTACAGACATAATATAAATTACCCCAGTCATGAGATTTTTACCATTAAAAAAAAATTATTGAATGTTGAATCGAAATGCGCTGGAACTCAAGAAAAATTCAACAACAAAAAAATAACCCGAGACCTTAATTCGCGCACGGAAGTTTACAGCTCATTTATTCTCTCAAAGAGGTTCATCAAATATAAAAATAAATGCACATTATGCAAGGCAAAATATTACAAAATCAGTTAGTACCACGTTTTACTCATAGTTTTGATGACATCTGCTCTCAAAATAAAGATGTCCAGACCCTTGTCGGTAATTTCATATTTTTTCGGAACGGACGCAAAAAACGCAAAAATAACATTTTCCGATCTTTTGTCAATATTTACATAATTTTACACCAAGTTCCATAAAAAAATGTTGGTCTCTGCCTAGTTTTAGTTTCCTCTTTCCATTGGTGGTATCAGATTTTCGAAATTTTACCGATTTGTTGATATAGCGAACTATGGTCACACCACCATACATGTATTTCTAAAGCGAATATTATGCCATAAGGATGTTTCAAAATCGACCAAAGGATGGAACAGATAACAGCTATCAGCGACTTTTTTGTCATTTATTTATTTATTTATTTATTAGTCTTTTTTTAGTAGGGTGGCTCCATCAGTAGTTAAATACTGTTTTCCGTGGAGGCCCTACAGTCCATCAGTCCATTGATTATAAGCCAGTAATATTAATTTTTCATGCAAGTGATATTTAAATTTACGAGAAAGTACTATATACCAACATAGCAATGGTGGCTATAACCTAAAATCATCTTAAATATATAGACAGAAATTGTACAGATATACTTATAAGGCTACACTATATTTCTTAAATGTAATACAAAGTTTTGGTATGGGGTCATGAATTTGGTTCAAATGAACATATTGGAAGCAAATGCGATCCTACAATATTCAGTGATCGTTGTCCGGGTTATAATCGAGTCTAACTGAGTTATGAAATTGTAAAAAATTAATTCTTTGTGCTTTATAGCTCCCTCTCAAGGTCAAGATATTAATTAAGCTATAAAACAATATTTCTTGACTAAAATCGACCAATTGGTTATTTCCATTTGGAAAGTATATATTTCAACTACATATTCTGAGATTTTCATGGTCATAGCTACCATTGTATGGCCGTAGGCGCTATTTGAAATTTATCAACATTTACCGGGAGCACCGGTAAATTTTGATATTAAATTTTTCTCGAAAGCAGAAGTGTTTTAGGGACTAAATTTTCTAGTGCTTATAAAACATCCACAGGGGCATCCAAATATATCAAAATTGTAAAGAATCCCTATTCAGCCAATTTGCAAAATTTCCCAAAACTTTGTATTACCTTTAATGATCAGAAAGAAATCGATTTCCCAGCTTCACCTATATGAAAAACACTTTTGAAATTAATCTGACCACTGGAGGCATTTATCTTAATGAAGATATTCACTCATTTATACAGACTCTATTTACATTTTCAATCGAAGTTTTCTGCAACATCATAGCCAAATGTCAGATTACCTCAATCATCATGGAAAACTGCGTCAAGCAAAGCAAACTGTGTCATATTCAAGCAAATATTCCTTTTCATTCAAAAGGGAACTTTAAAAATACGAACTTTGGGGAATGGGTACTCTGAACACCTACTTGCTCTGACCCTATTTATCCTGTCTGTACCAAGAAATTCCAAAAGCTACACTGATGCATATGAAAATGGCGAGCAATACAGATAACACTGAGATAGCTGCTATCGTCGATGAAGACATCTTTTTGGTATCATCACAAGCGCATGGTACATCTGAAATATCGTGGATGGAAAGAAGTTTTTAGTAAATCAATTTGAGTTGCTGGTCAATTTGGCAAGATTTGTCGATTAGCTACAAGTTATTATGTCCGCACACAACCACAAATAATGTAACTTAAATTTTGTCTCGTGAGAAACACAGCTCTCTGAGCTATGGGAGCTATGGCTTCATAATTACTTTCCCATTACTTCGTATGAAAGATGTAGTGTTATTTGTACTCGGCTCTGCAGCCCACTTGACAACGATACGGCCTTCTGCGGGATAGCCGATTGATAAATTGGTTTGCAAAAATGACTAGAAGTGAAAAATTGCATAACACATGTATGTGATAAAATCATCCAAGCATGCATGGAATATCCTATAGGATTAGGAGCTCAACTTAATGTGTAAATATCTCACACGTTCTGCAACTGAAAAGATCGTCCATGCCCTCATTTCATCTCGTTTAGACTTTTGTGATTCTCCTATGTACCACTTTACTCACTTGAAAACACAACTCTCTCGTTTGCAGGAATTACAAAATACTGCTGCCCGCATTTTACTTTATCTAAGAGATCTACCCACGTAACTCTCATTTTGGAATCTCCCCATTGAATGCCAATTTAATTTTTGAAAATATTTAAGATTTTGTTACTTTGTTTTCATTGTTTGCGTGGTGCTTCCCCTAAGTACAACTTTACTTTTTTCACTTTCCATAATCTTCGTAGACAACTTCGATCTTCTAACTCTTCTATTCTTGTAGTCCCCCAAAACAACAGTTCGTGGAGGGATCAATCTTTTGCACATATGCTGGATCAGTTCTATGGAATGAATTACCACAGCCTCTAAAGGAAATAGCAACTGTAAACTCATGAGTCTTCTCTTAAAATGCACGTGTTCAAATCCGATTTAGATTAATTTGATACTGATCCGTCATAGCATATATATTTCCTTACTGTATTATGCATGTCAACTTATTTTTTCGAAGCACTCTGTTTTACTCTTATTATATTGTTCATGACTCTGTATTGCAATTTGCAATTTACACATAATTGTAGTTAACTTTATTCATGTATAATCTCAGCGCTTTGAACATGTCTGTGAAATGGATATAGCGCTTTACAAATAGCCATTAAACTTACATGACTCTTGAGTTGGGGTGTTAAAGAAAGATCGAATCCAGTCTTCATAACGTGTGACCCTGGTGTAGACTCCGGGTGAGTTCGGTTCGCCACACCCATTCCCCCAGCTCACCACACCAATCTGATAGTACTGGTCGGTGTTACTCGATGGATACGCCACCAGGGGGCCGCCACTGTCGCCCTATAAGGGTAATTGGGACATTCAGGAACAATTAAAAAGGACTAAATCCCTTCCAATTTAATTCTCTTATTTCTTTGCCGATAATATGTGAATTATATTTTGAGCCTACTCTTGGCTACTGATAGTAGGCCTAACCATGGTTAATGTACATTAAGATATTGCATCCGGAGCACTACCTCTCTGCGCGAACATACCTTGTACGAAAGACTGCTCCCACCTCCTGCCCCGCAAAAACGTATATCACGACACTTTTTAAAGGGGTTATAGAATTTTAGGGATTGTTGTCCTAAACAGGCGTTTATCGGGAGTCAGGTACATGTAATTATTGTTTGGGCTTGTACATAATAGGGGTTTTGCCCTATTATTGAATATTGTACATCGTATTAAATTTTACACTGCACGTTACGAGGCACCTGTGTCTTTGTCGTATGACTTTGCTCCGAGTAGTATGCGTTTATCTAATTTTGGACTAAAAACTATAACAATGTCAATTAACAACGTACTCTAATCTATGATTGATAAAAATGTAAAAATTCAAGGCATTATGACTACCATTAGAGAAAATGTTATTAATATAGATTATACCAAGAATATAGGATTTATGATCATGGTTTTTGACAGGGGTTAATAAGGAAATACACAAGAGAAACATCAAGTTGGAACCATGTAGGCAAAGCTATACTTCGTGGACATGATTATTGCAATACTCGAGGTGTCAGAAATATACATTAATTATTGTGTAATGTTTTTTTTCTTTCAAATCAGCTTTTTTTTTTTTTGGAGATATTTTTGGTTGTTTGTTTAATAAAGTAGTAGTAAGTCATTTAGTTAGTTTGTTAGTTAGTTACTTTGTTTGTTTGTTCTTCTATGTGCTTGTGGATTGGCTTATCGTTAAGGATTAAAGTAAAAACGAAAGGGGCGGGGGTTGTATACGTCTATTTTGTTCAAATCGCTCTTCTCTCTCAAATAATTGAGTGGACCTAAATCGATGGGAAAATGATTAAATCTAAAAGAAAAGGACGCACGCTGTAATCCAAATTTGTATATTTTCGTTGAAATTAATTTTTTGAAATTCTTGATTGAATTTTACCTTGCAAGCATCAACACCGCCCTTTTCGTAGCCTGCACAAATCATGTTATCAGTGAAGATGTCATCCCCTGCTAGGGACCGATCGCACTTTGTCCAGTTATA